ATTATCAGGGGGTAGCCGTGTTAGTCTGTATCTACAAAAACAACAAGGAGTCTGGTGGCACCTTAAAGACTAACAGTTAGTCTGTTAGTCTTTAAGGTGCCACCAGACTCCTTGTTTCTTTTGGACGATTCAATGTACATTTTGTAATTAAAAATTAAGGGAACATTCCCATTGCAACAGGAGTACTTTCTGGAAGGGAAAATTAGTTAATTTATCCTGCCCTCGTAATCACACCAGATACCCACACAGTTTTAATTAGCCAGGAAAGTTTCAACGCCTCCTTTCATAACTTTATTTGCAACTTTCTCTTTGTCAGCATCCATAAATTGTAAATTGTCAGAATGGACACAGATGAGTGTCCAACCTGTTTTGAAAGCATCCATGACAGGCTAGAGAAGGAATGGCATTCCAAAAGGCACCTCCCGCCACCACCACCTTGAATTCTGAGGGTTGGCCCTTCACACCAAACAGTGATTTCAGAAGAGAAAGTCATCATAACGTTCTCTCTGCTTAACCAGGAATGAAGAAATCTCATCCTCAATCTGCCAAATACTGTAATTAGGATATATGATAAAAGCTACAAAGAGTCCTGTGGCCCTTACAGACTAACAGACGTTTTGGAGCATAAGCTTTCGTGGGTGAATACTCACTGCGTCAGACGCATGCGTCACCCACGAAAGCTTATGCTCCAAAACGTCTGTTAGTCTATAAGGTGCCACAGGACTCTGTCACTTTTTTTCAGATCCACACTAACACGGCTACCCCTCTGCTATTAGGATATATGATGTTGTTAATGCTAACAGCCACGGAAACACACAAAACTGGTTTTGAGGTTGATATTGTATTAAATGAATGGTTCTGAGAACATCTTAATGTCTGGAAGCAGATATTTACCATCCTCGGACTCTATAGACCAGGGGTCGGCAACCTTTCAGAAGTGGTGTGCCGAGTCTTCATTTATTCACTCTGATAAACATTTTAAACGTTAAAATGTGCCAGTAATACATTTTAACATTTTTAGAAGGTCTCTTTCTATAAGTCTATAATATATAACTAAACTATTGTTGTATGTAAAGTAAATAAGGTTTTTTAAATGTTTAAGAAGCTTAATTTAAAATTAAATTAAAATGCAGAGCCCCCCGGACCGGTGGCCAGGACCTGGGCAGTGAGAGTGACACTGAAAATCAGTTTGCATGCCATGCCATTGGTTGCATACCCCTGCTATAGACTATACTTACTCTAATTAATAATTTTTTTACAAGTTAGAATAAAGTGCAATCTTTTGATTTAGTCTTAGACCAGAGAATTGATATAAGGAAGTCTTCTAAAAGGCAGAAGAGACCTTGAGGCATCTGCACTTTTATTAACCAGTCCTCAAACTACAAAATACATGAACATTCTACCTTTTCAAATGAACTATCACTACAGAGACACGTTTGGAAAAGACCTTAGGCACAACTGAAAACTAAATGGCAGAATTCTGTACTGGTAACAATTCTCACCAGAATGGATATGAAGTTACTTCTTTTCAACAGGTTAGATTAAACATGGAATTAAGTTTCTGAGGGTGAGAACTGCATATCAATGCTGTGAATTCAGAGATGACCAAAACTGAAGTTTAATTATTTAAAGTTTCACATTATGCCAAAAGTAATGTTCATTATGCACACAAATGGTGCTGTAGTTTTCCTCTTCATGACCCTCTATAATTCACTCACTTTGAAATAGCGTCACCAAGAATGTAGCTTCATTTGTGAAATTGTGATTATTTTAAACAGATATGGATATAAACTTCTAAATCTAAAACAGACCCAGGAAGAAACACATATTCAGTTGTAAAAGGCACCAAGCTTGTAGAAATAGGCATCTCCTTTTGGATGATCAACTAGACACTATTCAATACCATTAACATTGAAAAAAATAAGCAGAACACAAAAGGATTTTCAAACAATTTAAAAAATCAGTTATATTCTGAGTGTTTAGCAACAAAGAAGCCTTTCCCTCATAGTACAACCTCTATTATGCTGCTTCAGAAATGGTAAATTTATTTCCTTAAGATGCTAGAATAGAATCATTTAACCCTTAAATTCCAATAATTTATGTGCAGTGTTAATGACCACCTTGATCGATCAGTCCATCAGCCCTCACAGAGAGCGCGTCGATCACAACACATCATTCCTGTTGTTCTAGCCCAGGGGTCGGCAACCTTTCAGAAGTGGTGTGCCGAGTCTTCATTTATTCACTCTGATTTAAGGTTTCGCGTGCCGGCAATGCATTTTAACATTTTTAGAAGGTCTCTTTCTATAAGTCTATAATATATAACTAAACTATTGTTGTATGTAAAGTAAATAAGGTTTTTAAAATGCTTAAGAAACTTCACTTAAAATTAAATTAAAATGCGGTGGCCAGGACCCGGGCAGTGTGAGTGCCACCGAAAATCAGCTCGCGTGTCGCCTTCAGCACGCATGACATAGGTTGCCTACCCCTGTTCTAGCCAGTCCTTCAGCTACCCACTGGCTGGGCTGTCAGTGGCACTGGATACCCGATCGACATAGCGCACCGCAGTCCAGAACCCCTGAGTGATCTGCCAGCCTCAGCCTCCCAAGGAGCTGGGATTACAGGCACACACCACCATGCCTGGTATTAATGACCAAGGAAATATAATGGTTCAATACCCTTGTAATGCATGCCCTTCTATATTAGAAAGGTAACCTATAATTTATCCCCTAAATTGTGTGAAGATTTGTGTCTATGACTTTATGTACAGCAAATGACTTGAGTTTTAATTTTGGTAAAACATGTATTACACTACCATCTGCCCAAATAAATTGTGACGCTAGAAGGATGACATACCATTTTCTGCTATTTTCTATATGCTATCAATGTTCCAATTAGTACCAGCAAGAGGCAGGTACTTCATGATGATGGATAACACTTTTTTCATGGCAGTGGCCTATAACCTTGTGTGAAATTTTAAAAAAAAAAAAAATCTTACCATAATATTTCATTAGCTAACAGCCTCATGAGATGTGATCGGTCCAGAGAGAAGAGAGCTTGCCTTTCACTGTATCAGACAAACATCGTACATCCCGATTTAAGAAGAAATTTTTAAAAAGCAGAAGATTCCTTCCCCCCCAACCCTCTGTCCCATTAAAAACAATAAATATCAAAGGGCCTGTGTGTCAGGATGCATTGTTTAGCTTAATTCAAATTTCTCAAACAAGGTAGGTAAAGGCAAGGTCCAATCTCACTGTGCTCTGAAAAATGCAGAGCAAATAAATTATTATTTAACAGATAATACAGCAGGAAGATAATTTGCGAGGACATCAAGAAGCTGCAATTCCAAATCTAAACAGATTCTGTATGTGCAGGAGAATAAAGGTGTAATCACTATCAATTTGAAATATAAATCAATTAAGAAAGTAGTTTCAAACCCTACACCTTTTCTAAATCCCCTTGCTAATTTTTGTGGTTTTAGAACTATACTTTCCAATGTTCTCATTTTTTACTGTCCTTTGCTGTTGTGTGAAAGGCTCATATACATGAAGTCTGAGTGAATTCTCTGAACACATGCTCAACAAAAAACAAAAAAAAGTATTGAAATTATTAATACTCCTCACCCAGCAAAAAAGTTACCAAAATAAATGTTTTTTATTTTCAAACAAAACCTAAATGTGGGGCCTAAATCTACACCCAGCAACTGTTGCCAGAACTGCTGTCAGATTGTCAATGCACACTCCCTGCTCACAACAACAGGACCACATGCTTGGGATATGAGAAGACAAATACACCTGCAATGGACAAACAAACCCGATAAAAAGTTTCAGAGCTAACTATGCAGCAGAATAATTGATTGTTTTTTTTAACTTTACTGGATAGATAACTTTTGGGCCTGTCACTGCCTCCAGCGTACCTTGAATCTAGAAAACTGAACTGAGCACTAAAAGCATGTGCTCATTCTTCCCATCCACATCCAGCAGAGGGAGACTTGGCTGTCTAGCCTGCTTTACATCGTGAGTCTGTTTTTGTTAAATGGGGGTATTTAAATGTCCTGCTGTCAATCAAAACGTACTTCCTACAATCACAACCAGCTCCTCCGTAAATATCCCAGCGCTTGGGTCTCTCCAAATAACAGACTCCAAACCTGAGCCAGGCAGCTGGGGCCAGAACCGAACAGCCAGTTGAGCCGCCGAGCCCCCAACTTGTTTCTTTGTTTAAATGTCCGTGAATACCACCCCCCCCACACACACAAACCCCAGGCTGCCGCTGCTTCGGGCCTCTCTCACGCACACTTTACAAAACACACACGAGCCGGCCGCGGCCGGGGAAGCCGCTTGGGACCGGACAAGAAACGTCAAACCCAGGAAAGGCAGGAACTGACCCAAAACACAGAACGAGCCACGAACCCCAGGCACGGCCGCCGCCGGGAGCTCCCGGCGCCGGGGAGCCCTGACGGCCCGGGGCAGGCAGCTGGGGAAGAGGATATTATCTCTCTCCCCCACTGAGCGGCCGGCATCTCCCAGCCCTGCATGACGGAGGCAGCCGGGGGGAATCCCCCCCCACACCCACATTTGGCACCCACTCACTCCCCCCCGCGAGCTCAACTTCTGGGCAGCTCCTGCCCCCCGCTCTCCGGCGGTCCGAGAGCCCCTCATCTGTTGCTCCCTCTACTTTGACGGGTGACACCCCCTCGGTGCCGGGCCGGAGACCCCGCACGCGGCTCCCCGCGGGGGCGCAGGGCGGGGAGCGGGGTTGTGCAGCTCGGTGGCGTGGGGCAAAAGGACATCTGGGGGCGGGGCGGGGGAGCTCGCAGCTGCCCTGCCAGGAGGTCCGGGCGCAGAGACGCGACGGGTCCCCGCCGGGGGGCCGCGTCCCCCCATTGTTTCCCGCTGGTGGCGGTTGTTGTTACCGGGGTAGTTGCCACCCCCAGGCTGTTCCCCTCGTCCCCCCCCCGGACCCGGCGTGGGCTCCCCTCGCCCCGCGGGCTCCCCGGCCCCTACCTGCCGTGGAACCAGTCCTTGCAGATGTCGCACTCGATCATGAAGCGGCTCACATCGTAAGGCTCCCGGCAAACACAGTACACGGGGGTCGCGGTCGCCGCCGCTCCGGCCATCTTTAAAGAACTCACTGACTGAGCCACCCTCCCCCTCCAACAGCCGCCGCCAGCGGCACCAATAACAACAGCGCGCGCGCGCCAGCCCCACGGAGCGCGCGCGCCAGAGGCGACACGAGAGAGCGCGCGCGTGCGGCCCACAGTCATTTAGCCAGTGAACGCTCCACCGCTGAGCATGCGCGCCTGGGAACTTCTGCCTCCTGAGAGCAGCAGCTCGAAGACGTACGAGCGGATGCGACACTTGAGCGTGCCCGCCAGCCGTCTACGCTATATTGGATGCGCGACAGAAAAGCACGTGCCACAACTCCCTTTGGAGGCGGAGCAGGCAGGCAGCTAGGGCACGCGCTCGCTCCTCCCCCCTCCCTTCCCCCGCGTGACAGTTCCGGGCGGGGGAGGGGGATAGAGGGGAGCGAAGGGTTCCGCGAGGACACAGAGAGAAAGAGCTCGAGCGCTGGGAGGGGGGAAGAGCCGTCTCCCTTATGTAACCGAGCGGGGCAGACGGGACGGAGGGGGCTGCGGACTCCTCCTCCTCCCCCCCTCTACGGAAAGTGCCGACAGCTGCCGGACTTGCCCGAAGTTCTAGACTTTGTTTTTTCACGCTTGTGAATGACACAGGGGGATCCCCTATCGCGGGGGCGGGGCGGCGCGGCAGTGCCCGCGGCCTCTGGGCATGGGGAGCCCGGGGGGGGGGGGTGTTGGGGAGCCGGCACGGGACATTGCTGGGATTTCCATGGGGCCTGTCTGGTGCAATACAGGACACATGGTTGCTAGCGCCAGGTGGCACAAGCCATTTGCTGGGAGTCCAGTGGTGCTATAGGGACACGGGGTTTGGCATGAGGCGGCACCGAGCATCTGCTCAGAGGCCGGCCAGAGGGCACCACGCTATGGGGCAGTGGAGTTAAGCCTGTGGTCTGCAGACTATGTCTAAGATTTCCAAAGGGGTGCCCACCTCTTCTTGAAAATTTTAAAGGGGCCTGCAAATTAAAAAAAGGTTGAAAACCACTGTGACATGGAGGAGGGGTAAAAATCGATTTAAAAACAATACATGAAAACCCAATTTTTTAATTTAAATTGGACTTTTATTTTTTACCTAATATTTTTCCATTTAAAAATAAACCCAGTTAAAATGAAATCTGATTTTAATACAAAATATGTTAAGGCCTACAGATATAATCGTTTAGGACATTAAATTAAAAAAATGCTGAATCCATGAGTCTGTATCAAACACTTTTCCATTAAAGGCTTCTTTTCTGTATAAAGAAAGAATCAGGAGCAAAACATCTAATGTTTATGGTCAAGCTTTATAAATATGGCACAATAGGTCGCATACTGTATTAAGGGCTTGATCCTGTCACTGTGTTACTGGGTGAAAGAAAAAGGCATTTGGACCTGATCTCTGACTACAGGAGACACCTTTATGATCTCATCAAGATCATTCATTCAGCTCACCTGGATGCTCTCCCTCTCCTGTTTTATAGCTTTTCCCAATGCGGCTCCTGATTGGCTCAATACTCATCTTATGACTTCACCCACTTTCTCTCCGGCTCATGAAAAAACACTGATCTGCCCAGTAACTACCAGCCCTTGCTTCTGGATGGGTCTGGCCACTTCAAGCAAATGACATTGCTCTGTTTCCATGCAAGTGTACACAGAGAGACAAACAGAAATCCATTAATTTCTTAACTGCCTCTCAATCTCCAAACAAAATACTGTAGTGCAAAAGGTATGTGGGTTATGCTAGCAAACGTCTTGGATTGTTGTTTGTTCTTTTGTTTTTCGGGGGAGGGGGGAGAATGTAACAAGGAAGAAGGAGCAGAGTGCAGCCTCTAGTGTTGATTTCAGTACCTGGAAACTGGAGAGGAAAAAAACTGATGGTTGAGGGTAATAAAAAAAAAAAAAAAAAACCACAACCCTATTTAGGAATGCTTTCAAGAATCCTGTACCTGTGGGTAAAAAGAGAACACATGCCAAATGTAAACAGTGCAACAAAGAGATGCAAGGCCTGGTTGTCAGAATGAAAGAACAACTTTATGAAAAATGCTCCTCAGAAGGCAATGACTTTGAAGAAAATGATGTGGACATATCTGAACAATCTGGATCAGCTGGTTAGGAAACTTATTTTTGCACCCTTCTTATGGATTGCCTACCATGTCTTACTATGCTAGTAAATGATTGTTATGCATTTGTGTTTTGGGTGAATTATGTATGAATTCAAAATATAACTAGTATGTTAGTTTGTAGGACAAGGATATGTCAATTACATTTGTACTGTCACTGCTGGCCTTGTGAAATGATTTTTATTGCTCAATATAATTAAACATCCTAGGTGAAGATTTACTGTCTAAAAGTAAAGTTTTAACATTTTAAAAAAAATCAAGCTGTTTGGTATGTTAGATATAACAACTTAAATAGATTCAGATAATCCTTATGGTTTATTAATTATTTTCCCTATAAAAATTGGTGTAGAATAACTTTTATAATTTAAACAGTAGTGCAGACAACTGCAGTAGGAGGAATCTTTCCTTTACAATTTTTTTTTAAAGCAGTGTACTGTGTAATACTCAATACATGAGTGACTTATTTTACCATTTTTTTCAGGATCCAACTCAGGCAAAAGGGATATGAACTGCCATAATCTGCAGTTTCTACAATTTCAGAGTCATCTATTGATACCACCAGGGCTGCAACTAAACAGACATCAGACAGTAAATTACCTGTATTAAAAAAAAAGACTCTTTGTCGTCCAGTAAAACCATGGATGAGTTTATAATCAGGACCAGCAAATCTAGAAGAAGATAACTTAGGGAACCTGAAAGATATACGGGTGCTGTGCTCAATTGATGCATCTTCTAGCCAAAACTTAAGTACAACTCCAGGAGTAAAAGAAAGTAGTGTTGAAATTGCAGAGTACTTCTGTAACAGCCAGTTTGCTTCAGCTTCCCCAAAGAGAGCAGGAGGAGCTAAACTAATTCTCCCCCAAGATGTATGATGGAATTCAGTGGTTGACTGTTTTGAGCTGTTTATTAAGAACTGGCCTATTCTGATGAAAATTTGTGAAGAAAATTGTGATAAAATAGATGGGATTATCATAAACAAAATAGTCAGCATCGGACTAAAGAGAAATGTAGAAGACATGCTGAAGTTCCTGAAACCTATTTCCATAGCCTTGGACAAACTTTTTAGTGTATGTGCAACATGCCTCAGGTGGCACATGACCAGGATTCATCACCGAATTTCGGTCCACTGGTTGGATCATTAGCTTCCCCGGCCCAGGATAGGTACTGACGGGGAGTGCAATGTGAATGCTGATCCATGTCCTCCTTGGGCAAACTCTAGAAAGATTACTGCTTGACACTGTTGAAATTTGGAAAGAACTTCAAGAGACACTGAAGAAAGTATACCCAACAACAAAGTTAAATTGCAGGCAGTAAAGAAGTAAATGAATCAAGCACTTTCTCCACCTCTTTTCCATGCCAGTATTTTCAACCCAAGGTATCCAGGTAGATGCCTAACTGCTGAAGAACATGCTGCTGTTACAACATGGACATCTAATAATCACCCCTCAGTCATTCCAACTATACTAAATGTCAAGGCTGGAGGTGAACCACTCAAGCAGTACCTGTTTGCTGATGATGTTTTAAAGAAAGTCACACCATTGAACTGGCTAAGCACCTGGGACCAGAGTTAGTTGAAGTGCTAAATCAGCTTTGGACAGCAATAGCTTTTTCTGCAGGCACAGAGAGAATATTTTCTTCATTTGGACCAATTCATTCAAAGTTGAGAAATCGATTTGGGAGTTGAAAAAGCTGGAAAACTTGTCTTTCTCTTCCAGTCTATGAATAAAAATGAGGAGGAAGGGGATGTGATCTACTAGTTTTATAAGTCTGAAGGACAGCCTAAGTAATTTACAAAACTGATGTCTCATTTTCAAGAAACTTAGGCGAGTAGGAACTTAAACTCCAGTCACTTTCACTTAGGCATATTTGAAAATTTTCCGAGGCTGACCTGAAATGATCAATTTAATTCAATGACTACAGTTAATCCCGCTGCTCCTTTAATAAATCACTTAGTTGTAAATGTGAAATTAAAAGAGAAATGTATTTGATTTTTGTTTAAGAAAAATAAATGTTATATGTTGTGTGTTTAATTAAATTCCAATTACCATCCTAATGCAGCTTGTCACAAATCATGATCAAAAACTTAATTATCTAATAAGAGATATCATTCACTATTTTCTTGCATACTAAATATGTACAATTAATAAGAATCTGAAAATATTAAGCTATATCAATACTTAAATAAATGTATATAGTGTACCTTCTCAAGGGGCAAAATAATGTACCAAATCTAGTGCAAAGACCCGACCTAGTTGTAAATCAGCATGGTTTGATGGTGATACGAACTAAAGAGAATGCACCTTTCTTTAGAAAATAACTGCAGTACAAACGGAAAAGTTTATTTAAATTGACGCTTTCTACTTGGTGATTTAAATCACCTTGGTTTAAATCAGTCCACCCTGGAACAGGTAGGACCTGGTGTGAGGAGGCATAGGGCATTTGCTGGGAGGGGCACAGCATTATAGGGACATGTAGGGCTTGTCACCGGGCAGCACAGAGCACTTACTGTAACACCCACAGGGCATGGTGCTATAAGGATATATAAAGCCTGGCACTAGGCAACACAGGGTGTTTGCTGGGAAGCCCATAGGGCATGGCACTGTAGGGACATACAGGGCATTGACTCATAGAATTTAAGACCAGCTGGGAACATCATGATCATATAGTCTGAGCTCCTGCTCATTGCAGGCCACAGAGCCTCATGCACCCACTCCTATAATAGGCCCATCACCTCTGGCTGAGTTACAGAAGTCCTCAAATCTTGATTTAAAGATTTCAAGTTATAGAGAATCCAACATTTACTCTAGTTCAGCCCATGCCCCCTACTGCAGCAGAAGATGAAAAATCCTCAAGGTTTGCCAGTGTGACCTGGGGAAAGATTCCTTCCAGACCCAAACTACGGCAGATCAGTTAGACCCTGAGCATGTGGGCAAGACCCACCAGCTGGACCCCTGGAAAATAATTCTCTGTAATAACTCAGAGTCCTCCCCATCTGGTGTCCCATCTCCATCCATTGGAGATATTTGGTAATAGCAGTCACAGATGAGCCATATGCCACAGTAGGCAATCTCACAATACCATCCCCTCAATTAATTTACCAAGCTCAGTCTTGAAACAAGTTGCAATTTTTGCCACCACTACTCCCCTTAGAAGGCTGCTGTAGAACTTCCCTCCTCTGATGGATGGAAACCATCATCTAATTTCAAGCCTAAACTTATTAATAGTCAGTTTGTAGTCATTTGTTCTTGTGCCAGCATTGGGCTTAACTTAAATAATTCCTGTCTCTCCCTGGTGTTTATTCCTCTGATGTATTTATAGGAAGCAATCATATCCCCCTCAATTTTCATTTTGTTAGGCTAAACAAGCCAAACTCCTTAAGTTTCCTCTGATCATCCTCATAGTTCTTCTCTGCCACTGTTCCAATTTGAATTCATTATTCTTAAACATTGGAGACCTCAGTTGCATACAGCATTCCAGGTGAAGTCTCACCAGTGCCTTGTATAATGGTAATAACACGTCCCTATCTGTACTAGAAATACTTCCCCGGATGTATCCTAGGCTTGCATTAACCTTTTTCATGGACATACCATGTTGGCAGCTCATAGTTCTCCTGTAATCACCCAATACACCCAGATCTTTCTCCTCCTCTGTCACTTTCAACTGATACATCCCCAGATTTCCTGGGAGGCCCATGAGGTACAGCACTATAGGGACACATAGGGCCTGGCATAAGGTGGCACAGGACATTTGCTGAGGAGACCCATGGGGCATGGTGCTATAGGGATGTGTACAGAGTGGCACCAGGGAGTATAGGGCATTTGCTAGGAGGCCCACAGAGCACAATGGCTATAGGGACATTCAGGGTCTGATGCAAGGCTGGCACTGTGCTGGTACACATCAATCACCAAGATGTCCCAGCTCCCATCAGGGGCCTTGGCGCCCCTGTGGTTTGTTATCCCACAGAATGATATCCCTTTTGCCGCAAGGCCTGTCATCTCAAAGTAAGACTGAATCTCTTACATCAGGAATCTGTACCATCTCAGAGCAAGAGCATCTTGTGATTGTGGCCTGTTGTTTCAGCTCAATATAACATAACACACCACCGAGGCCTGTCCTCTCAGTGCAGTGTGACAGGTGCATGGTGTTTGCCATCTCTGCAAACCACACCTCACTTCACTGAGGCCAGCGGCAATCTGCTCCATTTTATGGCAATTAAATGCAGTACTTGGGCAGCTGGCAAGCTGCCAATGCACCCTCTAGTTGGGCAAAGTTTGAACTCCCTAGTACTATCCATATCAGTATCACCCCCTCTTTGGCCCTTCTGGACAGGGCTGGATTAACTCATCCCTGGGTCCCTACCGTCTAATAAGATAATAAACAGCAGATATATACACACAGTCCTGCCTACACTGAGAAGGAAAAATAACTTTTTAAAGGGGAGTGGGAGTGAGCAGCTGGCTCATGGCCTAACCACTGTTCAGCATGTACATGTCTAGAGGCAGCTGAAGGCGTGAGATAACAGTGCCTTTCAGGGTTGGCCCAGCCAAAACTCTGCCATGACAGGGGGATAGCCAGTCCAAATTTGAGTGAATGATGTTGAGACCCAGAGCAAATCTATGCCCCCAATACACCTTAAATGGCACTCGGCAGCCTATGCTTTGTTGAAACGGTTAGAATGTTAGTAAAGTTCTTTCAGTTTGTACACAAATCCACATTGGTTAAAAAACAACACCCTTCCCCCCATGAATTTGGGCCTCAGGCATGGTGCCCCATTTGCCTATGTGTTAATCCCATTTTGCCTCTAGGATGTGGGTATATAGCAAATACCACACATTTAGCTGATTGGGAACCTTGGAGGGAGGGCGTCCCGCCCCCCACCCCAAATTTTGCTAAAATGAGACTCCCAGTGGTGAACAGATTACTACCTAAAAGCACTTTTAAAAACTCTTACACATCTATTAGAATTTGTTTGTTTAGACCATTATAGTGGGAAATTGTATGTGGAAGGGGATGCATTAATTCTGATAATCAAACCAAAGTGTTTGTATGTGTGTGCCCTTTTCACTGGCTATCAAAAAAAGGAACAAACTCTTGCTTTTGCTGGGTTTTAAAAGAACATGGAGGTTGAGTGTTCAAAATGTGTGTTAGATTGTAGCTATGCACCTGAAGCAGTTTCCATCACAGTGAAGAAACCATTTCACTTTCAAAAGAAGGATATATTAACTTTTAATGTTAAAGTACAGCACAAAATAAAATTTCTATTTGTGCCTGTTTTAACAAGTCTGCTGTTTGTTTCAAGATGTAGAATTCAAAGTGTATTTTGGTGACACTGCAACTTCATTGCATTGGAACATTGGACGGCAACTTGGAACATCAGTACTTCTCAGCACAAACATGAAGATGTTCTGATATGAACACTTTTCTCACAAAGAACAACGTAAAGGTGAAAATCAATTACAAATGCTGAGAAGTGAAGTGAGATCTTCATTCTACTACAACCTCTTCTGGATCCTGAAGTCATTTAAATGCAGAGGATGAGTTTGCTAAACAGTAAATGGACAGATAATATAGGGAAGGGTAGGAACTGAAGTTATTCTGACTTAGCTCAAGCTATTGCTGACCAGAGAATGAGACTTATCTTCACAGAAGGCCTGAAGTTTTTAATGAAACATACGCTTTATAAGATTGCTACAAGCATAAACATTTCTTCAAGGTATCTGATTCTCTCCTGTAGTATGTCGCATCTGGTTTAGGTAAATGAGCCAGAAGCACCTCACTTAGATACTACTGTGCTATAAGAACCCACACAAAGAGCTTGCAAATGCTGTTTGATTACTAGCATTTCCATCTTTCAGAATTTGGCTTGCAGTTAAAAAAAAAAAACCATGATGTCATACCTCAGTGGAAAATTTTTACCAATCTGAAGTAAAATTTATAAATTCTAATGTTCTTCACATTAGATAAATTTGGGACTACTTTCCAAAACAAGCTGAAGGAACTACTGCTGAGGGAAGTTACAAGAGAGGGACACTTTAGTATTTTTCTGTGACAAAGAAAAATCGTTACAGCATGTGAAGAAAGAAAGTTCTTCCTTTTGAAATGGTGAAGGATTTCTCACCCCTCCGCCCCCTACCATGTGTTTGAAGAAAGGGACAGATTGCTGTGGTGTATTTGCATTTCTTTACATTGCCCAATATCTTCTCTATAAGGGAGCCATTTAAAATAGGAGGAAGTTATGGGACACAATGGACTGTACAGTGTATGGTCTTGAATAAGTCTCAAAGCGGTAGCAACAGAAGAAAAAAAAACTTTGAGTGAACCGATGTATAGCATGTTATAGTTATTCAGTTATTTTCATTTTCAGCATCTATCCGTGGCATAAGGTCTTTCAGAATATTAAAAACAAACTATTTCATACAGTTTAAGAGCTACAAAGCATTATTTAACTAGTTAATATTAATCTCACACAAAGAACTTTGTAAGTTTGTAGGCACATCAGCGATGTGAATATATTACATTTCGAGAATATTAGTTTTCAAATTAAACAAAAAAATCTTAGAATCCTAGAAAATTCAGTTAAGGCTACACTTCTCAAACAAAGCTCCCAAACAACCGTCACTCTGCCCTTCCCTTCTCCCCCATACGGATGCCCTGTGAAAATCAGAAACTCATACTAGAGACATGCTGAGATGGGAAGTGGGCTGTCATGAGCTGAGGGATGGGGAGGCATGCAGGAGCAACTCAGTGGGACTGGAGAAGGGGAAGCACTAGCACTTACCTGTTTTTTCCCGTTAGTGAACCAGCTGTTGTTTCCAGAAAATAAAACTGACTTCCGATGAACCATGTGAGGTTTGTCAGCTGCAGAAGCATGGGATGTTGTAATGCCTTCCCCTGCCTTCTACATCTTGAACTGATTCTGAATATGATCTCCAATCATCAGCTCTTTGGTGTGGCTGCCAGGAGCAGAGGGAGCCCATTTACTTCTGTGCATAGCACCTGCAGCGATCTGCTAACTTAAGGAAGT